CCTAAACCCTAAAACCCTAAAACCCGTATGAACCCTGAAACCCTAAACCCTTGAGCCATTTTCCCCCTTGTGCCGAGGAGCCAGGAGTCGAGGTCCTCCTTGGGGCCTGCGTCCAAAGCTTGGCGAAGATGTTTTTTTTGGGTTTTGGGGTTTTGGGGTTTTGGGGTTTTGGGGTTTAGGGTTTAGGGTTTAGGGTGTAGGGTTTTAGGGGTTTAGGGTCTAGGGGTTTAGGGTTTAGGGTTTAGGGTTTTAGGGTTTAGGGTTAGGGCCTTCTGAGAAACAGAGCATCAGGGTGTTGGGGCGTCAATAAACAGAGTAGAGCATAACGTGTTAGGGCTGAGAATGTACTAGAGTGCAGTATGACATAGTAGGGCCGAGGGGCCTTACTGTTGTAAGGCAAAGGAAGCATATTGTCGGGGATTGGGGTACTGTAGGGTTTAGGGGTTCGCTGTAATGCAGGATCTGGGCATAGTGAGTCTTTGACTCTTCTGTGGGGTTGACCATGCTTTCGGGGGTCTTCATGGGGTTCTCGCATGTTGCGACTGCGGCTTAAGCCTTTCTGTTCTGTTGTGCCGCCTGGTTACAGGCACTTGGCCGTGCAAGTCCTGGCACGGTAGCACTGGTGTTGCAGCCCAACGCCCCAATCTGGGGGTTTCCGAAAATAGGGGACCCTAATATAGTACCCTAAAAAGTAGGATCCGTATTATAAGGACCCCAAAATAAGGTACCCCCAATTTTCGGAAACTCCCATCTATCGAAACCCTAATGCCTAAACTCCTAAACCCTAAGTTTAAATGCAGCCGAGACCTGAACCTCAAACACACATCGTAAGTGCCCTCGAGACCCCCACCCCGTTTCTACGGGGCCTGACTAGCTAGACAGTGACTTTGGGTTCTTGGGGCTTGAACTACGAACCTAAGGCACAGTATTGCCACTTGTTCGGACCCCTTTGCTACTTAGTAACTTAGTAGGGGTCAGGGGATTTGGCAAGTCGCTTGTTCGGCCCAAGAGCCCCCAAAACTGTGAAAGCTCCAAGACCCGGTAAATCCACCTGCGTCCCCGGAATCTAGAAGGCCCCAATCCCCTCAGAATCTGCGGGAAGCTTGGGCACCAGAAGGCTAAAAAGAAGCTCGACCTGCTTAAGAAAACCCTGAGACCATAAGGACCACAGGTCCACGGCCTTCTTTCAGATCTTGCTCCTCCATCCTTGGCACGTTGTTTCGTCGTGGCTGTTGTCTTTGAATGGGCAGTCGAAGGCCTTCAGGGCTTTCGGTTTAGGGTTTAGGGGTTAGGGGTTTAGGGTTTGAGGCGTTTCAGTTGTAAGGGCCTTCGGGCACGGGAGTCTTCGTGTCTCGGGGGCTTCGTTCTGAAGCTGACAGATGCCTTGGTTTTTAGGGTTTGGGGTTTGGGGCTTTGCGACTTTGAGGAGCAAGAACTTGAGGGTGTGGGCTTTCGGGATTTGGGCCTTCGGGGTTTGGGTTCAGGGTTTGGGGTTTGGGGTTTGGGGCTTAGACCAGACAAGGGAACAAGGGGAGCCTAATCCCGAGCTAAAGCGGGAAGCTTCAGGAGGCAGGGCTCAAAGACCCCACAGCTTGGTAGCACAATGCATGGCAGGTCAAAATATGGGAGTGTCCCAAAATTAGGGTACCTTATTTTGGGGGTCATTATAATAAGGATCCTACTATCTAGATCTAGGGTCCTATATTGGGGTCCCCTATNNCTATTTTCGGAAACCCCCCATATCTTACTGAATGGTCATGCCATCTGCCCCAGCGCCAGTCTGCCAGTCTTGGACATATCTACTGCTGAACTTACCAAGCACGTTGGGCTTAAGTATCAGTTGCAGGCTTGAGCCGTTCGAGGAATGGGTGGCGAGGAAGCTTTATGGTTCCTGACACCCCTACACCCCTAACCCTTCAGAACTCCTGCGCCGCCTTACAAGTCTGAACCCAAACATCCCTTCGAAGCCATACCAGACTCCCAACTTTCAGCCATGAGAAATCCTGACCCGAAGCTACACAAACCTCCTGTTCAGGACTTTCGAGATTTAGGCCTAGGTTTGCCACCCTAAACCCTAAACCNNTAAGCCCCTAAACCTTAAACCCCAAAGATACTGCGAAAATGCACCCGAAGGTCTCTTCGGAGGCCCGCAGAGCCATGTTCGGCATCAGGGAGACATGGACGCTGTCCTTGGTTCGCATTAGGGTTTAGGGGTTCGGGGGTCTCGTTAACATTAGGCTCCAGTTCTTTCTTAGATTTGAGCGTTCCTGAAGCTGAAGCTTGTGCCCAAAAAGCCCTTAAACCTCAGACCCTCAAACCCCCTGAAGCCCAAAGCCCTCAAGCCTCAAAACCTCGAACCTTACCCTAAACCCTAA